AAGAACGTAGTGTTGAGAGCGGGGATATTGTCCCTTTTTCTTCTGAATAAAAATCTTGTTCAGAATTTTTTTCTTCATCCTCGTCATGATCACTCTCATTCTCTTCATCAATATCATAATTTTTTTAAATGGACAGCATTGTTTGTGCTCCTAAATTTAAAATATGTGCGTAACAGCGATAATGTTTATCAACAGGATTGAATCCGTTTATTAATTTAGCCAATTCTTGTATGAACGTTGTTTTAGCTGCTGCGTTGTCCATTGTTATACCTTGGGCCGCCGTTGCGCTCCCGGCTTCAGAATACGGCGCCTGTAGCCCACTGCATGTCGTAAAAGGCGAGTAAAAGGGGTGAGGAGGATGTACCCATCTAGCTAAGTACCGCTTTGACAGAGACGCTGAGATGGGACATTACCGATGATGTATGAACGCACTACGCCTGCCAGGTGTTCACTATGTGAAATAGGACCCTCCCCGTTCAAGGTGTCCGTGGAAGTCCGGCCGGTGAACTTGTCTTCCCGTATCCCATCGCGTGTCGTACGAGGCGAATAAGGAGGGAAAATTGAACGCAGTACGCCTCCTCGTCCGGAGGCAGGGTGAGACCGTTTTGGTTTTAGACTGCGGTCTGACACTTCGTTCCGGGAGCGGATGTTCCACGTGGTCCCCCGTTGGAAGTGCAGGATTCTTGTCCTCGCTAACTCACGCCCACTCCTGTTGGGGTGTTATCGGGTTCAAGATGAATGTTACTAACCGTTCCGCCATTTCATTAGGCACCCTACTGTATGAGTGTGTGTGTGTGACCTACCAGACCATCGGTGGGTGGAGCTTAGCTCGGAGACGGAACCTCCACAAGGTCCCCGCTAGGTACTTTGATTCCCTTCTTCCGCTCAAGTTCTACTTGCACGGGCGAAGGGAATCAATGCATACTTTCTCCTCCTGGAAAGGCACCCGGTCTTCTTCGCCGTTTTGGTTCTTAAGGACCTTACAACGGCTATTTTTTCCGCCTCTTTCCCCATGGTGCATCGTTAGCGAAGCGGCTTGCCAAATCGCCGCCGTTTCAACATGTCAATAATTTTTTCGTTAGGGGGTAGATATGCTTATTTTAAGATAGGGAGTTATAGTCCTTAAAGACCCAGGCATCCCAGTCGGCCTTGAGCACGACGATAAGCGCAATTCTGTTATACCTTGGAGCTTGTTAACTACTTGATGTTTTAGTAGCGTATTGAAGAAAATTTGAGCAATGTCGAAACCTGAGTGTTGACCATTAGAAGGGACAAAATCTATTACGAATGACTGTAAGATCCAGTCCTCATCGATAAAATGCCCAGTTATTTCAAAATAAGATCGATGAGCAAGGGATGTCCAACCGTCGATGTTGTAGGAGATTTTAGAAGAACTGGTTTTCAAAATATCCATGATAATTCCCTGTTTCTCCTCGACACTTTGAGAAATCAATGATTTTAATTCATTTCGAAGTGGAAGTTTTATATCAGATTTGATGTATTAAAACAGGTCTTGCATCATTCATCCTCAAAAAATGAATACGTCAAATACATTTTTGAAACACAGTTGACTATCTTCTTTTGACAAACTTTTATAATTTTTTAATAGTTTTAATTTAATTTAATTTTTAAAAATTTTAATTTAATTAAATTTTAATTTTTTACACATATTTTATTTTTACTATTAACTCCTTCGCAGTGTAGCAAAAATAAAGCTTCAGTGCTCCGTATGTGGGAAAAAATTTTTTTTAAAAAAGTGATATTAAAAAAAACCGAAAACCTAAGAATACCCATTGACAAGTTTATCGTATTGTTAAAATAATCAAGTAATTAATTATTAAAATAATTAAGTAAACGACCACACATTATACATTTTCCAAATTTGGATCCGTTTTCAAGCGAATATTTGAAATAATTATTTAGAGGCTTGCCTCCATTTCTTCTTCTCTTACTTTTAAAAGTAGTTTGAATTGTTTCATTATCTTTGAAGAATCATTATCTTCATTTTCTGGTGGAATAAAATCGTCAGGTGCTTTCCTTTTTGACATTTTTCAAGAAACGTTTCGAAACTATGAAAAATATTTTGACATCTTTGAAATTTGAACGATTCAAAACACGAACAAAACAAAACACAGATAGAGAAAATCGGATCACTACAAATAGATGATTGAGAATAGAAACGAGCGAGTACATCGAGAAATCTCGACTCAAATGCAACTCTAGTAATCAGCTACTTCAAAAACACTAGATAAGAGATTTTCAAAACCTTAGCTTAACTTTATTTTATAGTTTGCATTTTTTGCTGCAAATCCCCTGGCGATTTTGATTTACCGAAAGTTAACCCAGCTGGGTTAAGTTTCTGTTAATTTTAGGTTATCCTTTGGTTTCTTCAAAAAGACTTGATAAATCGACTAAATATGAAAGAAAAATGCATTTTGAGGGTTAAATGGATGTTTATAGATTTGATTCTTATCAAAATTACAATAAAATAATGTAATAAATAATGATTTATTAAAGATAAATTTTGGCCTATGAATTCTCATATAGTATTCAATGGACTTTGTTCAAAGTTTACATTAATCAATATAATTTAAACAAAAAATAGGTTTATATATTTATAAAGAAATATAAAGTACATCAATTTCAATTATTATTAGTACTAATTAGTTAAAAATAATTAGTATTAACTTTTGAACTAAGCTAAAATCAAGCTTTTAATTTTTTCATTACCGTATGCGGTCGGTAAGGTCGTTTCTTTCAACTATTCAAGCAATATTAAAATTCAACAAAATCTTTGGCATTTGATTATCGCCGTACAAAAACGGCACTGAACGTGAAAATGATAAACATTGATTTTATAATTTTAAAACGATCGCGTTTTTGCATAGATTCGAAAAATCTTTTGGATTTAGGAAATTTATAAGATAAAAAATCTTGGTACGTTGGCCGATTTTATAAAAAGTGTTCATAATTAGAGAAAATAGTGTTTTAAAATCAATGTTTATTATTTTCACGTTCAGTGCCGTTTTTGTAGGGCGATAATCAAATGCCAAAGATTTTCTCTATTAACGGTGTTCCGTAATGGCAAGCAGTGGTTGTCTTTTAAAAATGAGGTACATTTAATTTCAAAAATTTTCTCCCAATTCGGACAGAAATGGCAAAATCGGAAAAAATACCAGTTATCCTGAGTTTGTATACTTTCATTTGCCTCCAAGAAATTAAAGATTTATTCACATATAAAACGACAGGAAGTAAAATAGGAAGAGTATAAATATTTGCTTAGTACTCAAATTGACCGTCTGGAGCAGCACCTAACGGCTACAAAAAAATTTTTATTTTACTTTCTGACGCCGTTTATCGTACTGAATTTTTAATTTCTTGTGCGTAAATGAAAGTACAACATTTCAGGATAACTGGTATTTTTTCGATTTTTCCGTTTCTATCCGAGTTGAGAGAAAAATCCTCTTTAAATTAAATGCACCTACGAGGAGCCAATTTTTGAAAGACCGCTTGCCATTGCGGAACACCATTAATCAATGAACAAAAAATAGGTTTATATTTATAAAAAGTACAAAGTACATTAATTTCAATTATTATAAGTTCTAAGTATAGTTAAAAATAATTATTATTTTGTTGAATTTTAATATTGCCTAAAAAGTTGAAAGAAACTACCATACCGACCGAATACGGTAATGAAAAATTAAAAGCTTGATTTTAGCTTAGTTCAAAAGTTAATAATAATTATTTTTAACTAATTAGTACTAATAATAATTGAAATTGATGTACTTTATATTTCTTTATAAATATATAAACCTATTTTTTGTTTAAATTATATTGATTAATGTAAACTTTGAAAAAAGTCCATTGAATACTATATGAGAATTCATAGGCCAAAATTTATCTTTAATAAATCATTATTTATTACATTATTTTATTGTAATTTTGATAAGAATCAAATCTATAAACATCCATTTAACCCTCAAAATGCATTTTTCTTTCATATTTAGTCGATTTATTAAGTCTTTTTGAAGAAATCAAAAGATAACCTAAAATTAACCGAAACTTAAGCCAGCTGTGTTAAGTTTCGGTAAATCAAAATCGCCAGGCTCTCACTGCAAACTTTTTTTCTGGGAATTAACTGAATAAATTTAACATTATTTGAAAATGATAATGTTACTCTTCTTCAAACAAAGCGTATTTGTATATTTTAACGATAAAAATTTTATTTTTTGATTTTGGTTGAGATTTGAGAATAGTTGAGTGCACGGGCCAAAATCGGACATCTTACTTCAAAGGCCTGTAACGTCACCATTTTGTAATATTTTTAATTAAAAAAATTATTATAAATAGCTTATATTGTACACTTTAAGGTATGCTTTATTGTTATTCTGGATGATAGGGAACAAACAGAAAGGTGGATGAAGAAATTAGAAAGCATAAAAAAGGAAAGAATGAAGGGAAATAATTTAATCGAATCGAGAGTAGAAAAAGTTTTTCTTTGACAAAGTCAAAAAAACAAATAGAAAGGAAGCCTGGCCTTGGCGGATTGGTTCAAGCGTATTTTGAGCGATTTCGCTTAGAAATCGCTTAACTTCGCTTAGAGTGAAAATTTACCGATAAATTGTTTAAAAAAATTATATAAAAGTGAAAAGTAAAGGTAAATTAGTGTTTATATATATGATTTGTGGAAAAATTGTGATAACCCTAGCGGATTGTATGCGATGCGAATGCTCCATGAGATTCGCAGAAAATTCGTGGAACACGAGGTTGAGATTGAAATTCTGTCTAAAATGGATAAAAAATGATTAATCGATCAAAATACGCTTGAACCAATTCACCAGAGGGCATTGGCGAATATTCAGTTTAATTTAAGTTAAGATTGCGTTTATAATTAAGTTTCAATGTTTGTATTTAGTATATAATAAAAATTTGTAGTCGATATCTGATATATTTAAATCTTAAAATGACATACATGTTTTTATCCAATTTTTGTTTAACAGATGGATTACCTTTGCAAAATTTACCTAATCTTCCTGGCTACATTTCTGTATATATTAGACACGACAATCAGCCGCTAATAGAGATAAACCCTAACCTAGCAGAAGCCTTTCAAGAAAAAGTAAATTATTTCCAGGTAAATATCAGAAAATTCCTAATATACCGTGGATGTACCAGTTACCGTCCATGTCCCAGTTTCCGTCCATTTTACAAATATCTCGTATAGTAATTTAAATTATTTTTTAACAATAATTTATTCCTTTTGGCACACAATCGACTTATTAGTTTAAGTAAACAAAAAAAAGAAAATAATTTTTTTATAAATGTTATTTTGAAAATTAAACTGGACGGAAACTAGGTCTTAGGTGGACGGTAACTGGGACATCCACGGTATTACTGAGGTTAATGGTAGGGGATTCTTAAGTAATAAAAAATTAGTAGGGATAATCTGCAAAGAAAATTGTGGATCATGCTACATTTTAATCTATAAATTATAAAAAATATAGTAAATATACCCAAGTAGAAATGTCCGTAGCTCGCCGTAATTAAACACCAGCATGGTACTGATCCAATACTGGCCATCGGTATTGACTTTCAGCACTGTCAGTGTACTGACTTATACACCGAATCAGTATTATATCAGAGGTAAAAAAATATTAAAACCAGTACTAGCCGTACACTGACATTCACAACGAATCAGTACTATGTCGGTGTCAAAAAATCATTAAATGAAAAAGTCTTTAAATTATTCCAATAGGTAGAAAACGATGATTTTTTTATTAAAAAATATATGTATTAATTTCTTTCTAATACATTCTCTCAAAATTTTTGTTGTATATATATATATATATATATATATATATATATATGTATATGTATTGTATATGTATATATATATATATATATATATATATTCTTTCAAATAAAAGACTTTATCAAAAAAAAATTTATTTTTTTTGCAAAAATCATCGACAAAATAAGAGGGATACTTTCTTTTCATTTTGAAAATATTTTCAAGACTGGATTTTTATTTTCCGGTGGTAACTACCCCTAAAAAGTATTTTGTCGTTAAAATAATACTGTTTCACGATTTTAACTTCATTTTGACAGGCAAATAAGGAACGTTTGGGTCCTGAGAAATCATCGCCATACTCTTCATATTTTGTTTGTAGGGTGAATTGGGGTAAACAATCCCTAAAAACATATTATTTCAAATAATAGACTATATCAGAAAAAAAAATTATTTCTTCTGCAAAAATCAGCTACAAAATAAGAGAGATACTTTTTTTTCATTTAAATTTTTTTTAATTTTTAGGGGTAGTTACCCCCTAAAAATAAAGTTCGAGATTTCAAAATATTTTCAAAATGAAAAGAAAGTATCCCTCTTATTTTGTAGATGATTTTTGCAGAAGAAATAAATTTTTTTTTCTGATATAGTCTATTATTTAAAGTAATATTTTTTTAAGGATTGTTTACCCCAATTCACCCTACAAACAAAATATGAAGAGTATGGCGATGATTTCTCAGGACCCAAACGTTCTTAATTTGCATTTTAAAGTGAATTTTAAATCATGGAATTTAGTATTCCTACGTAGCACCGAATATTTAATAAATATTTATTTTCAATGTTCGCAGTATTTAGAATAAAGGTTAAGTAAAGCTTCTGTAAATATTTAAATGTCCACACTTCAGAAAATGTTTAGCGCGAACCTTGAGTGAAGCTTGAAATTAAATATTCGTTAAAGGTTCAAGTCGAAACTTGAGTGAAGCTTTAAATTAAATATTCGTTAAATGTTCAGCTCGAACCTTGATTGAAGATTTAAATTTAATATACATTAAAGGTTCGGCTCGAAACTTGATTGAAGCTTGAAAAAAATATTCGTTAAATGTTCGCTCAGATAACTGGGTTTTAAAATTATTATTTTATTATAATTTATTATTATTATTAATTTGAATCAGTTTAATAAATAAATTAATTTAAGAAATTTTAGTTTTCAAAAATGAAAAAAAAAATTTCTTAAATTTAGGGACTCATACTTTAATTAATAATTTTTTAAAGACTTTAAATAACGAAATTAATTTTGAAAATAAATTTGGGAGGACAGGGGATTGAACACGAGTTCGACGAAGGCAAACGCAATACCTAACCAACCGATCTATACGAGCAACTATGATTGTATATATGAGGCACTCCACGTCAAGTGATCCGGGTCTAAATTTTAATTACCTGGGATCAGGTTTAAAGTTTGCTTAAACTTTAGTCCTACTAGATACAACTTCAAGTACCAAAGATTATTAATTTATTTAAACAATTGTAAAAAGTGGAGGGAGTCAAAGTTTTAATTTTTTGCTCTACATCGTATATTTCAAAAATCTGCAATTCCATTAAAACATAACAAAAGAATGTTTATTATATATGAATTTTTTTGCATTTTTTACGCACTTTCTAATGGTATAGACAATTTTTTGAAAAAAACTTTTTTTGACCTTGAAAAAATAAAATTAAAAATAAAATTTTGATTTTTGAAAAAAAGACATCTTTTTTTAATTTTTTTTTTCATAAAGTTAAGATAATTTCCAAAAAAAAATATATAGGGCAAAAAGTGGGACGAGAACTTTTAAAGGGTCAAATTTAGCGATGATTTCTGCGGTGCGACATTGTCGTGCCCTGACAGTGTTTGCTTAATTTTGATATACGACAATGACAATGTCGCACCGCAGAAATCATCGCTAAATTTGACCCTTTAAAAGTTCTCGTCCCACTTTTTGCCCTATATATTTTTTTTGGATATTATCTTAACTTTATGAAAAAAAATAAAAAAGTTAAAAAAAGATGTCTTTTTTTCAAAAATCAAAATTTTATTTTTAATTTTATTTTTTCAAGGTCAAAAAAATTTTTTTTCGAAAAATTGTTTATACCATTAGAAAGTGCGTAAAAAATGCAAAAAAATTCATATATAATAAACATTCTTTTGTTATGTTTTAAAGGAATTGCAGATTTTTGAAATATACGATGTAGAGCAAAAAATTAAAACTTTGACTCCCTCCACTTTTTACAATTGTTTAAATAAATTAATAATCTTTGGTACTTGTAGTTGTATCTAGTAGGACTAAAGTTTAAGCAAACTTTAAACCTGATCCCAGGTAATTAAAATTTAGACCCGGATCACTTGACGTGGAGTGCCTCATATATGTCATTTATTTACGAAATAAAAAAACTGATATTTATAAGATAGTACCAAAAGTCTTTTTGCCCTATGTTCCTTTTTTATTTGAAAAAACATCTACAAATCTAAATAATTATAATGTAATTGCTGTCCCAACTAATAACAATAATATGAGTCATGAACTCATTATTAAAGGGAAAGATAAAAATAAAAAATCTGAGAACACTAATACTATTTACAAAATTAATTGCAAAAATTGCTCTGCTTCTTATGTTGGCCAGTCAAAATGGATGGTTGGGGTTCGTATTAATGAACATAGAATATCCTAGAATAATGTTATTGCTTCTCACAAAAATTTATTTAACCATGATTTTGAATGGGACAACTACCAAATACTTGATAGAGAAATTGATTATAACAAACGTTTGATATCTGAGATGATTCATATTAATTTGCAAAAGAAACCAATTAACAAAATGGAAGACACTCAAAATCTCAATAATAGTTACATTTATTTCCTCAACGATAAGAAGTCTGTTTAGCCACCTGTTTTGATGTGCACTGACAGCTCTCTTACTTGTATATATATATTTGTATTTTTGTTTACTGACGGTCCGTTGACCCCTTCATTATAAAATTGTCAAGCCACGTGCTTCTACTCAGTGTTTAGATAGATTAGCTATCGTACAGACGTCTCTTCCTCTCCAATTATTTCATCCTCAAATGAATTACTTGGAAGAAAAAATTTTCTTTTTTATTGGTAAAAAAACCTTTCTGTTAATACTGTACTTTTTAAATTATATATTGTAAAAAATTTTAATTATTCGTTAATAAAAATTTGTAGTTTCTGAAGAGGGCAGCGGTGCTGCTGAAACGTAAAAGGGAATAGTTTTGTTTTCTTTTGTTTGCCTTGACTCGGAGTGATCGTTATCTTCATGTTTTTTATTTAACTAATTTAGTTGAATGTTGTTATTCGGGGGTTTTCGGGGTCGCTGAATTAGAATCCGAGGTCAGAATATAAAAATACAAAATGGCGAATCCAATAAGGTGGACGATATTTTAAAAAATTACCATAGTTGCTAATCACCCTATGTAATGAGCGTTAACCCATATAGGACCGAACAAACTGTTCGACTAGTCAAACACTAGTTTTCACATTGCAAATAAAATATTAGAATATCATACAATATTATGCAACTACATTATTAACATCGACAAGTAGTTTACTTTCAAATTTTTAAAGAACCAAAATTAATAAACAATTACAATAATTATTCCACTTACATTTGTAAGTGCATCTGGAATTATAGTGTTTGACTATCGGAACAGCTGTCCAATACGGAATAATATAAAATTCTTTGGTGTAAGAATATGATAAGAAATCATGCAAAAATGTTCTTCCGTTTAATTATTTGCATTTTAATTCACATCAACTTCATTAACGTAATTAAAATAAATTAATATTATAAATTTTATGATTTTGATTACATTTTTATTTTCTAATTAATTTAATAAATTAATGATAATTATTAATAATTATTCACATTACGTATATATACTTAAGTACGTTAATAAAGTTAATGTGCATTAAAAAACATGATAAAGTCATAAATAACCAAGAAATAAAAAATTTAATAGAAGAATATGTTTGCATTGCTTTAATAATATTTTTTTATACTGCTGCATAATAATTCATCTATAAAATAAGAGGGATACCTTCTTTTCATTTTGAAAATATTTTGAAATCTCGAACTTTATTTTTAGGGGGTAACTACCCCTAAAAATTAAAAAAAATTTAAATGAAAAGAAAGTATCTCTCTTATTTTGTAGCTGATTTTTGCAGAAGAAATAAATTTTTTTTCTGATAAAGTATTTTATTTGAAATAATATGTTTTTAGGGATTGTTTACCCCAATTCACCCTACAAACAAAATATGAAGAGTATGGCGATGATTTCTCAGGACCCAAAC